TAACTAAATAGAATGGAAAATAAAAGATAAGATTGAGAAAAAAAAAAAACAGAACCAAATAGAATCAAACAGAATAAAACAAGAAAAAGAAACCAAATTTTACTAAAAAAAATAGTCTATAGCTGTACATGACTAAATCTCCAAATGCCATCACCCAATTTTATTAATAATTTATTCAATTATCTTAGAACATCCTAGAATATCCTTAATAATAGGCCTCACCCAAGTAATTGCTCTTCTAGAAGATTTTAGATGTGAATCCTACCATGATAATCATCCTAAAGCTTTCTAGAAGGTTTCATGATAGATCCTACTTAAACTACCATCCTAACTTCAATTCTAATAACTTTCCAAAAATGATTTCAATTACATATTTCTATATGCAAATAATACAAATATCTTATCCATGCCCTACTACACTAATTGACTTCATGCATTATTGTTTCTTATCAAAAATTAATAAAAAAATTAATTTATATTTCTTTAATAGAACTAAGGCCATGTCAATTTATACGGCTTTAAAAGTGCCTTGAAATGTCTAAGAGCAATGAAGACTCACTTTGTATAATATCATGATTAAAGTTATTTTTATTAAACTCTAACTCAATGTTTACTCAAAATATTTTAGATGTTGTTTATAAAATCCATAAAGGTGTACAATTTTGATTGATTTGTATAGAAAGCTCACATTACTATAACATAATCTATGAAGAAGAAACAAAGGATGTTGGATCGATTTTGTATTGGAAGATAAGCAATAGAATTGTAATTGCATTAATTGATATAGTACACATGTGTTTAGGAAACATGCCTTTTATTGCTCGAAGTCTTTATGAAGATAAAGATTTTTTTTATTTAATATGTTGATGTGGTTTTCCTTTCAATTTTATAAGTTGCAAAATTGTGGGTGGTTTTCATGTTTAGTATACAAGTATTTGGAATGAGTAAGACCTGCAAGATGTATAATGTGATGCAAAATGGTGGTTTGTGATTATATTTGATTTACAATTACATTATATTGATTATTTGGATAGTATCTAACTATACAATTGAAGTTTTTGAATGAATCTTGATTAAAAATTGATTTCTAGACTTTCTTTCAATATAGTAGACTAATTGTGTAGAATATCTTGAAGTACCTTTGTAGCACTCTAAATAATTATTGTATTATAGAATTAATTGCTAGTAATTATATAATATAAAAATCATATTTTATATAAATAATTTTTGTATGTATATATATATATATATATATATATATATATATATATATATTTATTGTGATTGTGTAGCAATACAAATTATCTCTAACTGATTGTGCTTATTATGGATATCCAACAAAAAGAGTTTTTGAAGATTTTTAGAATATTATATCAAATTTTAGAAGGTTCTAAAAGGTATTTCAAATATCCTAATAGGAGGTTCTAGAAGATTCATAGAAGATTTATAAAATATTCTAATATAAGATTCTAAAAATATTTTTATAATATTTTTAATAATTTTAAGAGATTCTTAGAATATTATAATAAATTCTAAAAAGTTCTAAGAAGATTAAGAAAGTTGTCCAAAAAGCTTGTTATAATTTCTTCATCTTCAAGTAATATGAAAACTTCTTAAGAAACTTTCTAAAGTTGTTTTATCTTCAAGCAACATGGAAAATTTTCAAGAAGCTTTCTAATACCTTATATATATTAGAATCAAGATTGAAGGAATCTTCACTCTCAATAATACATTTCTTATAATTCTAATTCATCTTTTTTAATATTGATCTTGTATTCATTTGATTTAATCAATTTCTTATTAGATTTTTTGTTGAAACTCCTTTGTTCAACTTCTTGTTTGATCTTTTATATAATGAATCCATGACAATGCTTGTAGAGTTTGTTGTAATATAATTTTTTTTACATTTTAATATCCTTAATTTGTATAATGCAATTGACATTATGGTTCTTTTTGAAGCTCTTTAGTGATTGATAGTCTCTACTTAACCTCTCAAAATTTAACATAAATTATGTTTAGATTTTTTTTTTATTAATAATTTTTCTATAACAAATATATTATATAACTTTTATTCTCAACATCTATAAATAATAAAATTATTTTTGATAAAAAAAATCAATTCATTTGAATAATTTGTATATAATGTTGATTTGGATCCAATAGTTTTAGTTATATGGATAGATCTATTGCGGCTTTTATTGAGAGACTTTAATTAAAATTGTTTCTACAAAGCTTGTAAATCTATAATCTTCATGTTCAATTTTTCATAATATTTTATAATTTTTCATAAGTATTTTTATCCTTTTCATAATGATTTTCTTATAGTGTAGTATGTCTAATTTCTCACTTGACTTTTTGGAAATTTTCTTCTCTATTATTCATTCTACTTTTGGTTAAAATTACACATAGGACTCTTTAATTACTTATCTTTTAGATATTCTTATAATGTTATTATTATCATTATTATTCTTATTAGACTTTTTTAGATTTTATAGTTAATACATTCTACAAATAGACTATGAGTATGATTTCTAATAATCTGTAACTTTTGATAAACTCTATTTTTTGATATTCCATCCATTGTATGCACAAACATAGAAGTTTGATGATTTGAGATAAGTTTGTCTATATATTAGACGACATATTTTCAAAGATGACATGAATGTACTATGCATTTCTTTTATTGTTTGTAATCTTCTAATTTTGTTAATTCTTAAAAAAATAAAATTGGATTTTATTTCTTTGTTTTTAAAAAAATTATAAAAAATATTTTTTGGCTTACAAACTGTCATAGACATACGCATGTAAGCCAATAATTACATGTATAAATAGGTAGAAGTAAGTAAATTCTATAATATTTGCTATGGAAGCTTTTTAGAAGCCTCATAGATACTGCTTTGACTTTATAGGTGTCTTTAATTGACTTTTTGGATTAGAAACGTGGTCAACAAGTTGGCCATATGCCACAAATGTTGTTAGCTTGAAGATCAAGCTAACTATGTGGCCCACACATAAAAAAACTTACCTTGTAAGTCAAGGCATGTGTCCTACAAAGTCAACACATATTGGAGGTCCTATAGAACATCACCACGTAGCCCTTAGTTAGATAGTATATATAAAGACAAGAGTGAAGCCTTCTTCATTCTTATCAATTCTTTTCTTGCTTCTAGTCTAGTTTCAAGGGTCTGTAGTTTTCTTGGCTTTTGGCAATAGCCATTCCAGTTTCTTTCTTAATATACATATCAAATTATTTCTATTTTGTCATCTTTCTTTGATAGAAGTCTCACTTATTTATTTATTTTTATCGTGTTCTTATCTTTGAGACAAATATATCTTTAAAAAAAAAATACTTCTTTAGAGTCATGCTTTTTGTGACTACGATATAGGTTCAATTAGCAAGTGTATGTATGTATATATATATATATATATATATATATATATATTGAATAATTTTAAAATGATTAATATTCAAATGATAGTTAATTAAGAAAAAAATGCTTCTACAAGTGTAAAATACATGATATCTATAATTTACAATTGTTCTAACATATTCTTGTTATGATATAACAAACTTAAATGATGAAACAATATTAAAGAATCATTAATTATAATGCTTCTTTTTACATCCAAATAATATAAATTTTATTACATTGAAGTGTATATTTTTTTTAAATAAAAAAAACCTATATTTTTATTTATCAAATTTTGTTGATATCATATCTTATTCGATTAAGTATTTATTTTTTTAATAAAAAATAATCATATTTTGCATTGAATTTAGAAAAGTAAGATCCAAAAAGAAAATTTGTTTATTTATTTTTTTCTTTTTTAATACTTAATCTTTTATTTAAATGCAAAAAATATCATCATTGATATTACATATATTCTTGGTAATTTGATTTCAATTCCAAATTGTAATAAAACAATAATTGTAAATATCCTTGATTGTAGAATTATCTTGGATATATTATTATAGAGCGCAAACAAAATAAAACGGATTAAAAAAACTACCACAATAATAAAAATATTCAAGATATAGTTTTTGATGTAATCAGAGTTATAATAAGTACAACCAATCAATTTTGTTCGACCAAAATTAAAACATTTTAATGATGTGGGTCTTTGCTTCTTTTTTTTTTTTTTTTTTTTTTTCTTTTCCACTATTCAGTTCAAAAAATACTACAATAAATTGCATCTTTGTTTTTTAAACTTGTTAGACCATGTCATACAAAACATTTTAAACAATAAATTGGAATGCTTTGGCAATTGCAAAGGTAACTATACAATCCTCTAAATTTGCAAAGAAACAGCTTACATTTAAAAAAAAATGTTAAGACCTCATAGAGCACCAAATTCGTGAATGTTTTGTTGAATTGGAATCATAGATGATTCAAGTCCATCGGATTAAATAGTTTTAGGAGGTTACTTCAAGGAAGCTATAATCTATCAAACAAAGTTGAGAAACTACCACTTGTGCAATGGATTCATATATATATATATATATAGCAAGAGCAGCGAAAGCATTGAAGAATCACAAGTGGTGATGGTGATATACCAGTTGTATGAATTACGGATGGGTGGCAATGAAAGAGGGAAATTCATGAACGTTCTCATGGCAACGAAACGAAAGCAGTGGCCATGGGGCATCTTGGACGGCAGTAGATGCCTCTGACGGGAGGAAATCTAGGAGGTGGGGGGGGGGGGGGTTGCTTCTGGCGTGGCGCATGGGCTGGCGGCGGCGGCGGAAGAGAACGAGGAAGACGACCACTGCGAAGTGAAGGGAGGAAGGAGGGAGGAGGAGGAGGAGGAAGGAAGGAGGTGGACGAGAAGGAGTAGCAGTGGTGGTGGTGGTGGTGGTAGTAGCCATTCGTTGTGGTCTGTCTCAGCATTGTTG